AGGCATGTCACAATGTGACCCCTCCCGTCAGACTCTCTTTTGGGACTTGTCACAATCCACTTACCACTCAGACATGAATGGTTAAGCTCTTCCACTGATCCTTTTTTTCCCTTTAGGGAGCCCTGCATGGAGTCAAAATGAGAGCCATTAATATTGTGAGATTTTGAAACAATTATTCAAACATCCTGCAGTTGTGTATTATTTTTTGTGTGCATGTTCAAAAATTGCATTCGCATATATGAATGTGTGAATTTGAAAAACATTCTCAGAGATTTCAGTTAGGTCGGTTAGGTATAAACATATTTTGTGCACCGGTTTAAGTAGAATTTGCACACGTATAAAAGATTTTTCTGCAATTTTTTTTAAAGTGAATCTGTGGGGCTCAAAACTCGGACATGGGTCTCAGGTGCTCCAGGTCAGCACAGGAAAGTTGATGATGATGGTAAAGAAGCTTGGCTGACAGGAAGGAATGGCGTTCCATCTCCACGCTCCCCCTTGTGCTCTGAGGTGACGTGCAGACCACCGCTGTGTAGCCAGGCGGAAAGCTGCCCTTTGCGGCATGAGCTGCCTGGGCCCTTTGGCACCGCACAGAGAACGCACCCCTCCGCCACCTCCGCCATCCATCTGCAGCTCAACATAATCTGCAGCCTCCTGCTGCAGATCTGACACTGGCATTGTTACTTCCTGCTGTTGCCTCTCGCTGCTCTGGAGTCAGTGGTCAGTTGCTAAAGATGAGGATTAGAGGCGGCAGGGTCACGATTAGACAAAGATGCTGAGGGTTATTTTTCCTTGTCTAATCTCACTAAGATTACAGGCAAACAAGCTCTCTACCCTTGATACTTACTTGATGCCTCATGCATAAGTAAAGATGTTGATTTGTTGAAACACTCCAGAAGTGAGCAGAAGAGACAAACCCTGCTTCTTCTGGATCTGGATATCTTAGGTCTTACTCCTACTGCAAAGCTTGATTGAAATTTAATAGCACATAGTCGTACTTGGTTCCCAGAGGTTTTCATGTCGGTGCTACAATTGCAGATTGAAAGAAAATATTATTTACGCTTTAATGTGTCAATTTCCACTTTGCAACTCCCCATCACTCCCCATAGCACTCGATCATTGGCTCATCAAGTAGCTGAGAAGCATTGATGTTGCGCTACTATTTGCTGCCACCTGCTGGTACACAGACATGTGTTTAAAAGCCTCTGATTCAAAGTACTTAGTAACGTCTGTTCAACATTCAGACAATAATTAGTTGACATGTTCATCTTGCAGGTTTTAAGAGAATATTTTATTTGAGTTGAGTATTTATTCTTTATACATATTTAGCAGGTTGTTGAAGAAGGACAGGAGGGATGGGACTGAGTGAGCCGCAGTTTACCTTGTGTTTATATTCGGTTTGACCTACTTGGCTGTTTTGTTTGCTAAGGTTTATTTTGGTCGTATGATGTACACACTCTCCAGGCAAAAACCCAGATAGAAACGTTCTAAATTGAAAAACGATCCACAACCTCCAAACAAAAAGCAGCATATAGACTACAAAGAGAAAGCAAGAAAACGGATCCCATTACTCCTCTTTTTAAGGTTTTCACAGTGTTTTCAATACAGACTGTGTGTTCATTTAAGAAAACGTTCAACTGAAAAGAAAGAAATCTCCGTACGGGCAGAGTGATGCATCATGGGTCCATATTCAACATCTCTTATTAAAACAGTATTGGCCTGACACATCTCTGACACGCCTCCTGCAGACATAAACACTCAGGCACACTCTCACACAATAAGAGGTGGTGGTTTATTTGAACATGTGAGTCAGCCGGTCCCTGTGGGCCGCAGCTGGAGAGAGTAGAACAGCCCCACCCAGCAGCGTCATGTGTGGTTGCAACCCCCCCCAACCTTCCCTCTGATTTATGCATGGTGAACACCCCTCCCCTTCACTTCAGGATGTCCTCGTACTCCTCTCACTGAACTGAGTTGAGTTTCAAAACGAAGCCCTTCACTTACTGCAGTGTGGAGGACTCGAGGAGCAGCTAGTACTGGGGTAGCTACTGTTGGCAGCCAGATCCCTGTTTGTGGTGAGTGTATTTTTATGTCTGCACTGGAATGTGGTCCTCTGGTTAGAGCTGGTAGTTTTCTGAAGATTCATTAGGGGGAAAATTTCAGCTTTTTAAGACATGTTTCAGAGGACAACTTTGTGAGTTGGTTTTAAACTTTAAAAAAAGTCTGCGATTGTTCTTGTTTGATCGTTTGAAACATCGTTCAGTACTGTTTAAGAACTCTAGTCTCTTTTTGGTAAGTAAGTGATGTCTATAAAATGGGATATTCTGCTGAACTAAAGTCTGAACTAAAGTTATGCAGTGACAGTTGATCTAAATTAAGTTTGCAGATCAATTGACAGATGAATGACAAGGCTGTTTGATATGGTCTGTTTGGTTTTTAAAAAATCTCTGTTTGGCCAAAATGTTCAGATCAGTCCAGATGTGGACTGTGAAAGAGAGTTTCTGACAAACTGACAGTAGAACAAGATGGAGCTGAATTCATGTTTATTTATTATCAGAGAAGCTGTCAATAAAGAAGACGTATGCTCTACAAAGCTTCCGATATTCTCAGTATTGACGTCTGGGGCCAGTGCTGCTTTCGACAGCTCTGTTTCAAAGCAGCATAAATCCAAAGGAATTAGTTCCTGATACTTTGTGACCCAGTTCTTGTCGCCTTCAAGGATGAGACGGGATAGAGAAACTGTAAAAACACTCATTAGTCCCTCTTGGCCCTGGGGCCATGTGGCTCTTTTGTCTGCCTATGAGATGCTCAGCGCCCGAGAAATGTGACACTGCACTCTCCTCTTCTAGCCTCTGTGGTTTATGTCTCATGCTGAAGTTTTGGCTTACAGACCATTAATTTGGAGACAAGCACGCTGGAATATTTTCCCCCAGAAACAACCGTTCTGCAAGATGTTCTAGCTCAAGAACCGACCATGTGTTGTTTATTTGATTCAACAATCAGGTCCTTTTGTTTTTCACATGCATAATGTGTTTACATTCATCTGTAAAGGAGGACGTACGCACGAGCCATGTCTAATAGGCGCTCGATATCATGTGGCCGTGTCACAATAGGCTGTTTATGTGGATCAGCGGCCGTCTGAGGCAGAGGAGATGCAGCAGCCAGGCACAGTGCAGAGCTTCTCAGTCATCCTCAGCCTCTTTTCTTGACTCGATGAAAAGCAGCCAGATTTTCAGGCCTTTTTCGACCCTGGGGCATGTCATTTACCAAATGAATGGCTCTCTTCACTCGACTGTTGAGCTAGTCACAGTCTATCATGCCACGAGACAAGTGAGCCCCACAGTATCAGTTTTCACTGCAGAGGACAGTTTTCAACAGGCACATTTGCATATCTTCAGGCTGTGGCATGACTTTAACATAATAATAATGATAGTGGTAGTGATGCATTAAACAGTTTACTGGATATACTGAGGATCGGACACGGCGTGTTTTTGTTCTTCCAGTCTTAAACAGTTATGAGTAACAGACTTACCTCATGTCGCACAGTCAAATCTCTTTTTATTTTATTTGTTATGCTGTCTTTAATTCGTTGTGTAAGTCATGATTCACTTATACCCGCAGCTCTTGTTCACACAGCAGCAGAACATAATACTAGAATTGGACACATAATTCAATTCAGTTCAATTCAACTTCATTTGTCAAATGTTTCTCTGTCAGAGCAGCAGCTTGTTACGTAAATCAAAATGTGCACACAAAGCAGAAGAGAAAGAAAGAAAGATAGAAACTAAAGTGTAAATAATCTAATCTTAGCTGGTGAACAAAAAGCTTGTTTATAGGAGCATACAAACATCTGGAAAAATTGGGAAAAAGATATTCTACCACCACTGTCACTGGTCCTGAATCTTTGTGGGGAGGATTCAATCCATCCATTATATTTATGTGTGGTGAGCTGAATCCAATCCAAGCTGACATTGGGCGAGAGGTGGGGACAGATCGTCTACCCACGCAGATACGGGGAGAACATGCAAACTCCACACAGAAAGACCCAAAACAAACCAGGATTCAAATCTGCAACATTCTCACTGTAAAGCAACATTCCTAACCGCTGCACCACCAAGTTCAAATGTGACTTTATAACACCCAGCTACTATCAATACATTTATATTAATGGAGGATCACATGACTGCTAGGAGTTTCTCTTGGTGACTGTAGTGTGGTTTTCATATCTTTACTGTTATGTAAAGTGCCTCCTCTCCTGACACAGCAGGCAGGTGTTTTCAGGTAAAAGCTCTGGACGCTACCTGCCCAGCAGCACGTAGAGATGGACAAAGCAATCTGGTCTAAAATTCTTCTCCTGACAAGGAAACAAACCACCAGCCCACTGAGTTGATTCTAGTTTCAAATGTCACTAGGTCATAAAATTCAGCAAATTTTTCTGAAATGATAAATCTCATTTGTCATCTTCTCACATGGCAAAGAGCACATAGCTTCAGCCCACACAATTGTAGGAAACTGAAATCCAGGAGGTTTTTGCTCTGTGTCAAGAAACAGACTTATCCGACTGAGTGACTCTGCTCCTTGTGATTTACGGTAGACTGAGCCGTGGCCTCCTGAGCCGACTCCTGATCACTGCAGGAGAGCCGAGTGAGAGTTGCAGCTGCATCACACGGTGCTTCCTCTGGCCAGGGGGTCAGGTCTGAGTGGGGCTGAGGAGGTTGAACGGGTCAGTGGGCAGGAAGACAACAACCCCACGATGTTAAAGGCAATATCACAGCAGGATGTCTCTGATGCTTTTACTCTCCTGGTGCTTTATCCTTTGTTTCCTGGCTGTTAGCGTTGCTGCTCGCCATACTACAGCTTGAAACAATGGCTTATCATGACAGTGGTCAGTATTTACAGCGTTCGCACACTATATGGCATCTTGCTCAACCTCTTGGATGTCGTTTTCCTCTTCTGGTCTGTGCTCATATCTTTGCTTTTGTCTGAATGCTTCTTATCTTTTGCAGGATGGCTCAGTGGGGAACTTTGATGACCTGGCACAGGAGTACTCTCAGTATTACGGCACTTCCCTCAGTGACGTGTGTGAAAGAATGGAGGAGCTGCGGAAACGCAAAGTAGTGAATGATACAGAGATGGTAAACAGACATCACTAAGACTCTTGTACTTTCTGCAAACATCTTGCTGATTCGCCATAATTTCTGTAAAAACATATTTTGGAAAAAGGCTTTGTTAAGAGAAAAGATCAATACCACTCTTAAATACATTCATTTAGTATGAAGTTACAGCAGCAACTTTGTTAAACATAAGCCGTTTTCAGACATGAACTTTGGAGAAGCTCCGCACAATTGAGTAGAGACTTTCTCTTTTTCAGAGGTTGCCTTTAACACATGAGCAACGCAGCAGGAGATTCTCCAGTCAGACACATTCGCAACCACACAGAGTGTTTAGTCAAGGGGTCACATGTTTCCAGCGAGATATTTGTATTCTGTCAGCAACGTCAACACTTCCATGCGGCCACAGTAAATCCTCCAGAGGATCTCCTGCTGTTTTCTCACATAGACTGATTCGAACATTTGCCACCTAAGAGGCTGGCCGCAGACAATCCAGACTGGAGCCTCTCACTCAAGAGACCGCCAGAGAATGTCAGGAGATTATCTGGAGTTCGGTACATATCTGGATTTGAAATCTGGAAAGTGGGGAAAGCAGCTACCCTGTCTCCATCAGAAAGTGACACAATCCTCCTACTGGCACCTATAAAACTCACTAATTAACACATTCTTGTGTGTTTATAAAGTCTAGCATTTTCCCCCTTTCCAGTCTGTAATCTCAGTGTAGACAACCAGCTGTTGGCTGTAGCAGCATACAGAAATTAAAGTACTATTGATTTTCTCATTTAACTCTTTGCAACAAAATACTTCCTGAAATGTTAAAACTATTTATGTTTCTTATAACCGCGACAAATAAATACCAAATAAAGAAAGAATCCTAAAAGTTACACCTGTTCAGTTGTGGAGACCTCAGCTGTGTACACTAACTGTTAACTGGTGTTATTCCATTATGTGGGCTGTCTGATTCAGTGAGATGATTATTATTTCTATTTCTGTGTTATGATGACACTATAATTTACTCCTCAACTTCCCCTCCCCTTGTGTTTTTCAGGGAAAGGTTGACTCAGCGGCCACATCAGTACAGCTCCGCTCTCAGCTCCAGGTGAATGTCCAGCTCCTCTGTGTGTCAGACCGCAGGAGAAAGCAACTTCCTCCGTGCGTCAGCAGACAGGCTGATAAGAGCCTGAGGAATTGCTTTGTCATGACTATCCTGACCTAAACCAAACTCAAAAGTATCATCTGACTGACTGCGGTGCAGAGAACTGACCTTGAGACTGTTCCCGCATGTTATGGAACAGATGTTAAAATATGGTCAAATGTGACCAGTGGAGTATTTGGGTTTTCTTGCCACCGAGTAACAAGATTTGTATTTTAAAAGCGCAACACAGTTTAGTTTCCTCCTAAATGATTCAGTCTGTATGAGGTATTGTGTCTGCTACACAGTTTCTTTGAAGGAAAGGTCATAATTTACAATTACCATTGCTTATTTATATTCACACTTTATTCTCTTTAAGGAATCCCTTGGACTCAGCAGCACCATGTCCACTCCAGAGACAGAACGAAGGTAAAAATAATAATTGCAATAACTATTTCTTTTAAAAGCAAGTTGGAGATCCAAAACATCAGCGTTTTAATATATATTTACACACAGAAAGAGCCAGCATCCTGAACTGGGCATTAGAGAGAAGCATCTGAAGCACACATTATTCTTGAGACTATTTTAAGTATCAGTAAATACTATAATAGACAATAACAAACATATCATTTGTCTGGATAGTGTGCAATGTCGTGGGACAGACTAAATAGTTATTATTTATTTAGATCATATCAGTTATAGAAGCAGGGATGTAATGTTTCCTCCTCTGTCCCTGTGGACACGTGCGTTTCCTCCTGAAGTCCAGTCACATTTATGAAGCATCTCTGCGTCACCTCTGAACTCCCTTCCTTCCCTCCATTGTCTGCTCTGAAGGACTTTGAAGATTAGTCACATTTTGTCATAGGACAGCTGAATACGATGAAAGAAACATACTGATCTGATTAAGTATTAAAAACAGAACATCGCAAATTGAGCAATATCAAGGACTCTGTTATTGTGAAATCAGCTGGTCATCAGAACCTGAACAAGAACACAGGAACAGAGTCTCACAGGAAACTTCCCTGCCCTCTAGTGGGGCCAGAACATACCGCTGGAGAAAGCTGATGCTCTTAGAAACAATATATTTTTTACAGTATCATTTTTTAACAATGAATGATAATTTTATATTGTGTCTTTTAGTCCTATTCTGTATATTTTGCCTTTTTCCAAGTCTCTGCTTGGATCAAGGTTTATATTCCCTTATCCACAGGTTGCACAACTTTTAATTTTGTTAAATGCTGGAGTTATCTTGTTCTAATCCTAGTTTGAGCAGTGTTTTTAACATCTTTATTAACTGCAGGAAAATGGGAGCATGTGAAACCTTTTGAGATTGTTACTGTGATTAAAAGCCACACAAGTAAATTTGATTTGAAGTTATTTATTTTCTTGAAAGCCAAATTATTCAATTTCTCCCCCAGAATAATTTTCCTTAAAACGATCCATGATTTGATTATTACAGGGACTTGAAGAATAGCTGCATTTTCACATGCTGGTCTTCAAAGGAAAATCAAACCAATATGTTGACAGACAAATCAGACATAAACATCTAGTGAAACCCGAGTAATAAATAGTTTTGGTTCCATTGACAAACCAGATTTGTTCAGTGTCAGGAAAATAAATGACTAAGCCATAAAAGAATAATGAATTTAGAAAACATGCACAGAAAATGATATTTTAATATATGTGTGGTCAGGGTGGAACTTTGGCTGTTGACAACACGACCTGCACCCGGACACAACAACTGTGAAGTGTGAGGGACGGTTGTACACAACAAACATCCCAGAGGGATGAAGACAGACAGACAGACAGACAGACAAAGAGAAAGAAAGAAAGAGGGAGGGTGAAAGTGTGCAGGGAATGCAGAGGCCACGTTAGCGCTGCTGTTGCTGCAAAACCTCAACTGGACATGAAAAGGCTCTATTGTTCCTGCGATGGCCGTAGAGCACTGACCTCTGTTCATCAGCCAAGAGCAGCCAGTCTTTTTCATCTGTTTTGACTACTTTGATTTGCCTCCACTATGGTGCCACTGTCATGAGGGACAGTGCACCTTTTGTGATTTTTATTTAGTTTTTTTTTTTCTTTTTAATCTGATGCAAGTTTGGAGGATAGAGGGACATGTTGAGGGAGATGGTGAGATAACGGGGAAAATGAAGAAAATAACTTTGGAAAACAGGTACTGTTCTGTTCAGGGATGAGATTCACGATTTGAACTCTTCAATTCAACTAAGCATTTTGTTTCTTTGTAGGTTTCCTGTGCACAAGTCCAGCTCTGATGATGGATCATCTGGAGGTAAAACGTTTTTCTTAATTTCATAAATGCTTCATTGTAAGTATAAACAGTTTGATGTGACTTGTCAAATTATTTCATGCAAGATTAAAACCTAAGAATAAAGTGTTGTTTTTGTTTGCGTTTGTGTTCCAGTGTGTCTTTGCAAAGATTATTAAATTCAACATATTTTTGTTCTTTAATAATAGCAACAACAATGTGAAATGAATCTTTTAAATATTACTTAACTTGTTGCTTTTTACACTTTTAAGAGCAGTGTACAGAAGAATATATCATAATCATTATTGTTTACCTGGTCTACCTACCCTGGTTTCCTGTTTTATATTTTGTATTTTTTCTTTGCCTGGAACTAAAACTTTTTTCTGTACAGGAAAATTGGATGGAAAGAGGAAGAGCAAGTCGTTTTGGCAGAGTTTCCGAAAGTCCCAAAGAGGAGTGATGCGTCAGATTTCAAAAGGTGTGTCAAGTTAAAAACACAAGAACCTGCTCTATTGACACATTTTTCCCAGGACCATAATATAAAACTTTGTAAAAGCAGTTAGTTGTGTTTGATTCTGTCATGTGACATTTGTAATCTTTTACTCAGGCTCAGGTGACGTTGTTGGTTTTGTGGCCAGTGAAATTACCATGAGTGACGAAGAGCGTATCCAGCTGATGATGATGGTGAAGGAGAACATGATCTCTATAGAGGAAGCCCTGGCACGGGTATGAAGTCATGCATTCTCAATTCTTACAGCTGCTGTTTCATGAGTTTACTGCGGAAAGAGGATGATGCCATTGAAGAAATGGCTCAAATACCAGATTGTTGAACACCTAATATGATCTATAACTTTTAAAAAACATATATATATATATATATATATATCTTTTTCAAATATGCCTTATTAAGCTTCAGTAGAGGTATAAAGATTAAACTTGGATATTGTTTTAAGAAGAATTGTTGCATGTTCCAGATGTTAATGGATAAATAAACAGGTGTACATCATGTTTACACTTATCTTTTTTTGCAGCTGAAGGAGTTTGAGATACAAAACAGACAGACATGCAGGTCTGATCCCACAGAATGGACCGATCCCTCCAGTCCCAACACAAATGAATCATTCAACTACAACGTAAGTCTCTAAGCTCCCAGTTTAAGAGCACTTAAGGCAGCGCGTTGGGCCTGAGAGATTTTGATCCACCAGTACCAAGGCTGCCAGGCTGTTTACAGCATCTCTCTCTCTTTCCCTCTGTCACTGTCCCGGCAATGAACCAGGGCCCCTCTAAAGCCCTGCAGCTCAGGGCACTCTCCCAACTGCAGGCCACTGGGTGGACTTCTATTCATCGCTGTCAAAGCGCTAACCCCCTATTGTGCTGTAGTGTGCGGGGGATTCAGCACAGGGCCCTGTTATGCAGGTCACAGCTCTTTTATGCAGGGTGGGGTGATTAAGGGGGCTCAGGTTCAGGGCACATTTTTCGGATTCATCTGGATGGCCCAACTATTTCTCTCTGCTGTGTGTGTGTGTGTGTTGCTGTTATTTATAATCCATCTCTTGTTGTCATGAGTTTGTTTTTTATATACTTGTTTTAATATTCTGGGAAAACATTCCTCATCAACACTAAAAAGTAAGACTCAAATGTTTACCACCATTTGTTTTTTACTTACCATCATTTCAAATGATGGTTTAGGTGATTTCCATGCAGCTTGCTTTTTATTTTCCCACGTACAGAATACATACCTTTTTCTAGTGTGTGGTGGAGCAGAGCTTATGAGACAGCTGCTTGCATTGCCTTTTCTCTCATCACTGTGGTTTCCTACCACAGTTTTATATTAGGTTGCAACTACTTTCCACTGCTGGTACTTAAAACAGCATCTGCAGCAAGTACACAGCTTCAATACTTTTTACTGTCATACGAGATACAAGAAATAAGAAAAGAAAAAAAAATAGAACAATTATTAAAAGACACCTTCAAATTTGTAACTTATGAACTACTTATTAGTAATAAAGAGCAAAAGTTTCAATGTCATATCATGTTTTCATATCCAAAATATTCGGCCTTACAGCTGTGGGCAAAGAATGAACCCCAATGATTTTTTAACTACAAAGCTCTGTAGTAAAATGAAAAGTTTTATAAAATAATGCTCCACTTTTCTTTTGTTCTTCAGCCTTGCGACCTGTCAGACAACGATCAAGAAGAATCAGTTACGTTCAGGAGGCTCCATAAACTGGTCAACTCGACCCGGAAGGTGAAGAAGAAGCTGATCAGAATTGATGAGTCTAAGAGGCCTGGAGCAGAGGGTACAAACAAACACCAGCGTCACACTGTCGTCACCACTGACTGTACCTCGTAAAGCACAAGGAGATGTTGCAGCCATCGTAGTTTTAAAGTCTTAGAAGAAACTCAACAATGTTTTCACTGTCGTCTTATGTGAGGTGTTCAGAGCAGGAACATACTGTGTATTAAAAGTTAATCTTGTACTCGGCAACCACAAGGCTGATTGTGATGCAGAGTCTGGAGAAAATATCAGTAATTGTCCTGGATCTAATTACTGTTTGACTAAACTTATGCTCTGTAATAACAGTGTTTAACATTTATTTTCACTAGCTGTTGAGTGTGTGTCAGTATAATTTTCTCTGATGCTTTTCTGCATAATTATGGTCATTGTCCAAAACACGAAATAGTTTGATGTGCTCGGAAAGTTAACATCCCATAGAATTGTCCTTGGGTGACATGACTACTGTAGATCTGATATTTACAGAGAGTCTAACTCTATTTGTTTGCATGAGATGAGTCTGCTACATCACATAATTCATTCCCTTACACTCTTTTCTTTCTACCAACACAGAGAGCCTAAACACAGACGGTCTCCTCTGTGAAGATGCCGCCGCCTCCCTGTACTCAGGTGTGCTGAAGAAGCCTGCAGTTTGCCCCATGGACTCGCTGGCTTCAGCTCTGCAGGAGCAGCTCATATATGACCGGGACTCTGACAGCCTGACCACCTCCCCCTCCTCCAGCAGTCTGGACACATGCAGCAGCCAGAAAATCTTCCAGGCCTTCAGCAAGTCAAGCGAGAGCCCAGTTCATCGGGAGATGAGTGGAACGGGGGAGGTGAGGGAGGCAGGCGAAGGCAGCGCCTCTTCATTTTCTGAAACAGAGGGCTGCAATGTGGAGGAGCTCAAAATCGCTCGCTCGGTGACCGATGGAGAGCTCCGTCACCGTATCCTCAACCCACTCAGCCACCACGGGGTGAGTACAGGAGCCTTTGCAGAAGAACTTCTGTTTGGAAGTTGTACATTGGCTACTTTTAAACAGAGTCTAGCTCTATTTTGAAGTTACCAGACTCTACCTAGAAAGCCCCAATTCACCCAAATTGTATGCCTCAGCCATCCCTCAATCCAGTTGCTGACAGACACAGACTGATCATACATATTAAATCCTCTCCAATCCGTTTTTTAAAATCCTGCAGTAATCACATCAACGTCTTATGAATCTGGTACGAGATAGTGTTCAATGAACAAATCCACCCTGCGTACACTGCTCCACCATCTGCACCGAAATGAAGGCAGACCCAATATAAGATAGAGTTCAGACAATAGTTCAATTCATTACTCTGATCAATGTTTTGACCATCCTGCACGGATATTTTTAGTTTATTTCCAAGTTTATTCTGATCATAGTCGTATAATTTTAACATGTTATCTAATAGTTCTGGACCTGTGGTCACCTGGCCTGCTGCAGGACTATTTGGGCTTTAACTGCAGCTTAAAATCCAGATATCAGATATCCACTGTGTCGTCATGGAGAAACAGAACTGGCAGCCACGTCACCTGATGAACGTCTGTTTCAGCTTCTCATTCATGAGCACTTGCTGCTTTTCATTGTCTAACGGGACACTCATTTCATGTCATTTTTGAATCATTGGTTTGACAACAGTGTTGTTATAATCGAGTCCAAATCGGAAGTAACCCAGTGCTGCACAAGAGGGACTCAAGGTTTAGCGGCTTGTCCACACTTTGGGCTTTTAGAAATTCTAATCCTCATTTTCACTGTTTTAAGATTCTTTTTTTGAACTTAACAATCAATCTAGAATGTAATAGTTGTCACTTGAAGTCCCATTTTATCATAATTCAAAGATGTTTTTAAGATTTTGTTCAATTCATTCAGCAAAGATATGCCACCTTTAGCTACATCTCTATCGCTCAGCTTATAAATGTTCTGATTTTGGTTTCCCTTGTTTTCACAGAGAGCTTGTAGCTTTGGAGGATTTGACCTGACCAGCCGCTCAGCGCTCACGATCATCCCTGACAGTGACAGCACTGTACGTTACTGTTATTCCTCCTGAATTTCCACAGACTGAATCAAAGTGAATGTTTAAAATTGTTTGTTTATTTACTGACACTTTTCTGCTTCTCTGTGTGTAATTCAGAACAAACATGGAGACGGTGGAGTGAGAGATACCAAGTCTCCACAAACATCACGTATTTCTTTGGGCAAAAAGGTGAAGTCTGTGAGAGAAACGATGAGGAAACACATATCGAAGAGATACCACAGTTCTCTGTCTGAACAGGTGAGAACAGTCAAGATATGACATAAAAATACAGTTAAACTTCCGTTACTGTGGTTCTGCAAATATTTTGAAGACCGTGAGACAAAGCTCACATTTATTTTTGTCTTCTCTGTATTTTAGTCGAGTCCAGATCGCATATCCAGCTGCCCTCACTCACCTCAGATAGACTCTAACTCTTTGGAGAAACCCAAACTGAAGCCAGGAGGGTCTGTAGAGAGTCTGAGGAGCTCCCTCAGCGGACAAAGTTCAATGAGTGAGTCAGTGTGTTCACGGTGTGTGGGTGTGTAGGGGGCAGATCTTGGTGTACTTACTGAAGACAAATAATCTCTAGTGTTTGTTTTAACTCAGCCTTGGCTCACCAGATGGGTGGTGTTTATCAGACAAATGTTTAAAGGATGATAAATCACTCTGAGATCGTCAAAACCTTTTTGTGTAAAACATCTGGCACCTCTGTCGCATTAAACACATCCAAATATTGTCAAACACTAACAGAACCGTGTGGTTTGTGTAGGTGGTCAAACGGTGGGCACCACTGACTCCTCCAACAGCAACAGAGAGAGTGTGAAGTCTGAGGACGGGGAGGAGGATGAGCTGCCTTACCGCGGACCCTTCTGTGGACGAGCTCTGGTTCATACTGACTTCACCCCCAGTCCCTACGACACTGACTCTCTCAAACTGAAGGTTCGACCGTTTACAAAATCACCAGTTATCAGCTGATGTCCTCGAAATCAGCTCAAACCTCACCTGTGGTTTTCTTTTCAGAGTGGCGACGTCATTGACATCATCAGTAAGCCACCGATGGGCACGTGGATGGGGATGCTCAACGGTAAAGTCGGCACTTTCAAGTTCATTTACGTGGATGTCCTGAATGAAGAGGAGGCGAAGCCCAAAAAGACACGGAGGAGGAGGAGGGCCCGGCAACCCAAACCCACCTCTGTGGAGGAGCTCCTCGATCGCATCAACCTCAAAGTAATAAAAACCTGTCTCAAGACAATACAAAGAATACAATTTACCTAAAATGTTAAAGAAGTACTCCTTAAGTAAAAATTTAAAACATTTATAATTTCAATAAAATAAAAAAAAGGGAATAATGACTTTCTGACAACATGTTTATTGATCTGTTTGTGTCTCGTCCATCCTCTTCTATCCACAGGAGCATCTTCCCACCTTCCTGTTTAACGGCTATGAGGATCTGGACACGTTCAAGCTGCTGGAGGAGGAGGACCTGGATGAGCTGAACATTAGAGATCCCCAGCACAGAGCAGTGCTTCTTACTGCTGTGGAGCTGCTGCAAGAGTATGATGGTGGGTCAGGTAATCAAACCATTGAGATATAATATAATACTACTACTTCCAAAGACCAATCCATGCACACATGTACTGAGGGCTCTTTTTGAGATCATAAGATGTGACCATCTACCCCCTGCTGGTGGTGTTGTGCCTTGCAGGTAGCAGCGACCCGGAGCGGAGCAGTCAGTCTGGAGGCTCACAGGAGAAGCTGCTCCTGGACAGGCGTGGCCTCCTGGGAGATTCCCCGCGAGACTCTGGCTGCTACGAGAGCAACGAGAACCTGGAGAATGGTAATGACAGTCTAAGTCGTCTGTGAACACTGTCCTCCTCCTCCTCCTTCTCTTCTGCCTCATCCTTCACTAGAAAGACTCGCACGGTGATCAGTCCTCCTCGACGCTCGAGCATTCCAAGTCACCAACTTCAGTTTTCATGCTCCTCTGGAAAGACTCTGCTGTCGTCACATTTGCTTCTGGCACTCTTCTGTTTTTTTCCCAAGCATCTTGTTCTTGGAGTCATTCTCTCTTCAGTTTCTGAATCATTGAGTCAAACTGTTTTGCAGTCACCTTTTTTGTCTGTTTAGTGCTTTTGAGAACTGACATTACTTGCCTTTCTTTACAAGCATTACATTCTGATTTTATAATAACGCAGAGAGGGGAGACAACACAAGGTGCTCTGTTGTAACGGGACTAGAGATTTTAAACTGAGCAGTGACCTTTACAGACGTGTTTCACTTCATCTGTTTGTGGAGCCGCTCGTAGGTCGTCTCATAAATAGATCTGCACCTGTGAGTTGTGTGGTGGGTTTTTGCATTTGCTGAAATGGTGACTGTTGAAACCGATGTGTGAAAAGAGTGTTTAAACAGACTCTAGGTTTAAATAGATAGAAATAACTCTTCTCGGTAATTGCAGTACATATTTATTGTGAATGCTTGCTTTGTTCATAACTATATCATACATATTGCGGTTGTTTGCTTACGTCTAAAATTTGTAAAGATGGAAAGAGTTGTGCTAACTGTAAACGAGGGCTTCTGTGAATGTCTAAAGGTTCATGAGGTTCGAGAACAATATCCGATCAGCGACACGTGTAAAGGTGTATTTCTCTAAAGAGTTTGTTGTTTTTGTGTATATTTTTTTAGTCCGGTAAAATATGATGTTGCACAATATTTTAATATGTGCCTGGAAACTGCACAATGCAGAACAATTAAGATATTTACTAAATCGTATAATTGTACTTGTTGAAAAAAGGCATTTTGTATAATTGTAAATGCACCAAGCGGCAGACTTAGGACTAAACACGGTGTAAAGTTCAACTCTAACACTTCAGAATGAAATGAGGCAGGTTCAAGGTCTAAAGCCTCAGCACTTTCTGACGTGTGTTTCTGTCATGGTTGAGCGTGAGGAATAAATTGCTCCATGCTTCACCAGACCTGACTGCTTGCTTCTTTTCTGCCATCAATCATTCATTTTTAGTTTAATGTGTCGGATTCTTTTCCAGCACTGTTACTGTTGTATTGGAATTGAATATTTATCACAGCTGACTGCATGATCTGCACACACTGCACTTGTTCATTTCAGGAAGGGACAAAAAGACTTCTTCATCCATGAGCAGGTCCTCCTCTGGTTTCCCGTCAAGCCTCCTCTCATCCCCTGAGTACCCTGCCCTCCCTTTGACCCTGACCTCCAGCAGCCCAAGTAGGACTTTACTCCACAGCGAACCAGGCTGGCGGCCTTGTATCTTATCATCACTGAGACCCCTGAGTCCCCTGAGCTCAGCAAAAGCTCATCTTCCCAGCAAAGCCATTGCTAGGAGCCAGAGTTGCATTGAGCTAAGAAGAGGACCAGCGATGGAGCCGCTGCTTCGCTGCTGCTCCCTGTCAGACCTCCACAAAGAGCCGAGGAACAAACTCATCGACCCTAAAGTCTGGAAGTTCCCCGGTTCCAATAGTGAGGAAAGCACTGAGCAAACAGTAAATCCTCAAAAGCATTTAATGTTCGTGTTTCCATCCTCCCAGACTTCAACCGCTGCAAATAAGGTTGCGTGCGGCGCAGACACGAGCAGCATGTTTCCAAACCCGAAACAAGGAGGAACAAGACAGAGCACACACCTCAAGCTGCCGACCACAGAGCCAGAAGAAAGGTCCAATCATCCTGTAAATATGTCCTCCATGCCGTCACTGACGGAACCTTCCTGCATCTACAACTACACAAACCACATCTCCTCAGAGGATAAGAGCCGTTCACTTTCAGCCAATTCTGAGGCCTGTCGGCTGAAGATGAAAAGAAATAAGAAGACGTCAGTAAATCTGGGTTCATTGATGGAAGAAAGACTCCAGAGTGTAGAGCCACCTCCTGAAAGGTTATTGGCATCAACAGCACAGTAAGGTGTCGATTTTATAAATGTAAATTGCTGCTGTTGGATAAGCACCGTTTTTTTTTCCAGTTGTTTGAAATACAGATTTTTTTATGTTTGTTTTCAAATAGCTTGCTCTCTGAAAGTGTTACCACATTTTATTGGGGGAATTACCGCTGTTGATGGCCATAAAAGATCTGAGGGGAAAATGCAAATGAATGACAAACATCGCTGATATTTTTACACCACAGTCACAGATGTTCCCCATTCAGCTAAATCCAATCTTTACAGCAAACTGCCTTTTTAAAACAGTAAATATAAGTAAATATTTATGATTCATTATTTTGATTTACGGAAGTTAAACGGTTTCTCACAGTTTATTTGTACAGACTCTCTGTATTTGTTGTAACTTTCCCAGAAGACACATTGACATGTCACTGTAGGAAAATGAATGGATTCCATTGACCAGGGTCCTGGTTCATGCTGGCTCATCTCACTGGGACGCTTGAATAGAGTTTGGTCATTATGTGTCAGGGGAGAACCATTTTTTTTATTATTATTAGGAATCATTCATGGATCTTGGAACAAAAAAGTCACATCAGACACATTTAATGAATTGATATCTGAGTGTGTGAAATTTGGTGCAGCTTGATTGAATTTAAGTAAGTTGGTAGAGGTCAAAACTTCTGCTGTGAAAACTTCACTGACCGACAGATGAGCAGCATAAATATTAACAGAAGTTTCCAGACAAACTGTTATTAAGAGGAACGTGTTAAAACTTGTGTCTTGTAATTTCAAGTAATGACAGGAATTATGTACAAATACAATTTTTAATGTTGTTGGGCACAATTAGCAGTACTGTGGCAGACTATTACAATATACATGTAGTATAAAGTATAGTAGTTAAACAACTGCACTCAAACATTTGTTTTTAGAAGCAAAGTAAATTCATTTCACATCACTTTCATATCAATGCATGTACAGTATTTTCCAGTTCAGCAATTAATTTATCAAGAATTTTATATTTGAGCTTTATATATAATGCTAATCATACTTCTACAACAATAAAGTTTTTTCTTTGAATGAAGTAAATCTCTTATCAAATTATTACATTCCCTCATAACCATCCAAAGAATTAAAGTATTTCATTTTTTTCAACATCTATTTCTATTTACACTTTTAGATTTCAAAGTTTTGATTAGTTGATATGTTGTTTATCAGTGATTTCCATCGTTCAGTTCACAGTTTAGCTCGAGCAGGCTTTTCACTGAGGCACTGTCTGACCAGCCTCATTGCATCCAGGGCGGTGCCCCAGGCCAGAGTGACTCCCCAGCCCCCGTGGCCATAGTTATGGACCACTGGTACCTGGCGGCCCTGCAGCTGCACCACCTCCCTCTCCACCCTCGGGTTCCTCCTGCTCGGCCGGAGACCCACCCACTCACTGAGAACTTTGGCCCCGCTGATGGACGGCTCCAGCCTCCCGCAGCGCTCCAGGATGCTCTTTGTGTCTCCCTCGTCCACCTCTAGTCGCCAGTCCCCCTCCTGCCTCGTGCCGCCAACAGTGACGCTGTGTATGCCGGGGTAGATGTAAGTCTTTCCATCTCCGTCTCGGATGAAGTGCTGCAGCCAAGGCGCCTCCACCTTGAGGACCTGACCTCTGACGGGGTAGACTTGGGTGTCACCCACCAGCAGCTTGGAGCCCAAACCAGAGCAGTTGACAATGATGTCGTAGCTGTTGCTTAATTCTTGGAGATTGTCGACTTTCTTCTGCTGCACTTGACCTCCTGCTTTTTTGAACCTGTAGAAAACATGTATGACAACGGTTATGCACCTACATCACATTCTAAGAATTATATTTAACTTAGTAGATTCAAAACATAAACTTTAACTGCAACAGCATTTATTTGGGATCAACTATTTTAAAGAAGAAAATTGCAGCCCAGCATCAGCAGGTATATTATTTATTTAACTATGATGGACAAACCTCTTCTCCAGCCACGGCAGGTAGCTCGCACATTCACATTTTATGGTGGTGAACGCCTGGCCAAACTTATGATCTGGGAACTGTCTCAGTTCGCGGTCAGTCATAAGTCGAAAGCCGATCACATATTCTGACCAGAAGGGAAATGTATCTGCTGGAACCTCTTTGAAAATTTGCCAGCTGGAAGGAAATGGAAAAAACAAACATCACCAGGCACCAAGAGATCTGTTTTAATCTGCTTAATCAGTGACTTCTTTTCTGGCACCGTTCAACGATAGTTACCCAGAGCTCAGCATTACTCCGGCCTCTGGTGAGTGTTGGGATTGAGTGATGGCCAACAGGTGATCAAAGCTGTCCTTGAACCAGCGTCTTTGTCTTTCCAAGGGAACATCTAATAGAGAAATAACAGGTCATTTCCAATGTGTAAAACTAATGTGCGCTGCATATTTACTTGCACAGTGGATTTTGTATTTATAAAAATGTCACCACGCTGGTGAAACTGCACAACCAACATAACATTTTGAAATGTGAGAGAGAGATTGTTTCATACCTGGAAACGTTGCAGCAAACAGGATCCCTGCGGCTCCATCACTGGTGGTGTCCGGGCTGAACCTCTCCGACAGCAGAGTGACCGAGCAGGAAGGAAGAGCCTCGGAGATGCAGACAGCGGTGGAGAACCCGATCACGCCTGCTCCCACCACCACAACCTTCACGCTTCCCATGATGGACGGACCTGTGTCTCAAACCAGAGGTGGAAAGTTGCTGCCTGCGAGACAACCTTTGATATAACTGAGCTCTTCACGAGTTAATCCACAACCTGTCGTCTTCAATAATGCTGGAACTGACTGCACGGGATCAACGATCAGAACCATAAAGGCTCAAGTCAGTGCAGCGACGTGTTCCTGAGAAAATGCATTACACAACATATACTGTGACATAGGTCACCGGCAGCTATAGAACCAGTTGGTATTACGTTTTGAGAAAGTACAAATTTAAACACAGTGAAAATATGCTAT